CCCCAAGAGCCATCAGGAATCCCTCCGGATCCATAAGCCTCCTGGGGCGGACCAATTTAATAGGTCCTCCACCTCTGCGGAGGTTAGGGGGTGCAGTAAGTCTAAAGCTGACCAGGTGGTGGTCGGTCCATGGCAACGGAGAGATGGATAACTCCTCAACACCGCCACCTTCCTCCCATCCCTGGCAGAAAACCAAGTCCAATGTGTGTCCAGCACTGTGGGTGGGGCCAGATACCTGTTGGGACAGCCCCATGGTTGCCATGGTAGACATGAAGTCCTGAGCCGCTCCCGATAAGGTGGCCTCGGCATGGACATTGAAGTCCACCAGCACAAGCAGCCGTTGGGACTCCAATGCCAGGTCTGAGATCACCCCCGCTAGCTCAGGCAGGGAGACTGTAGTGCAGCAAGGTGGACGGTACACTAACAGAATCCCTAATCTGTCCCGGTCACCCACCCTCAGGTGGACGCATTCAAAATTTGTTGACTGCGGGATGGGGGCCCTGGTCAGAAGAATGGAATCTCTATAGACCACTGCAACCCCGCCTCCCCGCCCTCCGGGTCTCGGTTGGTGCTGCACAGAGAACCCGGGTGGACAAAGCTGGGTCAAATTTACACCTCCCGCTTCGTCCAGCCAGGTCTCTGTGATGCACGCCAGATCTGCCCGTTCATCCAGGATTAAATCTTGGATGAAAGTTGTTTTACCATTGACAGATCTGGCGTTCAACAGCACCACCTTCAACCCAGAGGGACCGCCATCCTGGTTACACCAACTTACCGTATCAGGAGACCGCTTTGGGATTACTAATGTTGTTCCACGTTCCCTAGGCCGAATTAAAGGTCTCCCTTTCCCGTATCTCCCCCTCCCCACCACGACTTCTATGGGGGCTCCCCGGTTAATGGAAGCCTCTCCCTCCTCCATGACGCCTTTAACAGTCGTGATAACAACCCATAATTCATTATTGACTGTTTGATATACTACAGCTTCAGATTGCCATGGCTTCGTCTTCCAGTTGTTTCTTGTTCCTATTATGTTATACTCATGTCCTTCTGGGCTGCTCCTTTCTCTTTCTCCACCAAAAACAATTAGCAGCCCAATTAGCACTTGCCAAGGAATAAATAGTAACATGGATAATAGCTGTAACCACAGTCGAGAGTTCGTTGGAGCTCTTAAAGTGCAAAAACAATTATCTCAACATACGCATACACAACAACACGATGGTATGAACAATTAAATAAGCGGCTAGTTAGTTAGCTCTAAAGTGCTAAATGAAGTGCGTCATGGAGGGTTGGATCAACGCTACTAGGATTAAGTCGATTAAAGTGCTAAGGATAGTTAAAGTGCCACAAAGGTAATAATTAAAGTGCTAATAGAATAAAGTGCTAAAATCACACCAACGATGAGGTACCCCGCCTCACCACCCTAAGGTTGATAAGCACATTTGAAAAAGATGGTTACACAATCAAGATGGTCAACACAATCACAAAAAATCAGCACAATCGCAAAAGGTCAGCACAGATAGAAAATCGACACAATTAAAGACAATGGTATAGTCGGAGATGATCCACATAAATGAAAGGACTGCAAAGTCAAGGTCAACACGTAAAATTGACGACGTTCATCACAGTATATCTAAAAAATTAGAACAGCGAGATGCCCAAAGATGACGATAGTTGGGTCGTAAGGTGACGATAATTGGGACATAAGGTGGTCATAAGATGGTCCGCCCAATCAGGTCTCGAGGTGGTCAGCTCGGAGGCTCGTTAAAACTATGGGGGCTGCTGGTTCGATATTTATAAACCCTTCCGGGTTTGGAAATATGTTTCGATATCGCTTCGGAAATGGTAAAATTAACGAATTATTAACGAATTAACGAATTAACGAACGAAACCGCACAGGCCTAATATATACACATACATACATACATACATACATACATACAATATATTATATTAGCATAGTACAATATCTGTATTAGATATTACTATATTGTACTATACCAGTGTTTCTCAACTTTCCTAATGCCGCGACCCCTTAATACAGTTCTTCATGTTGTGGTGACCCCCAACCATAACATTATTTTCGTTGCTACTTCATAACTGTCATTTTGCTACTGTTATGACTTGCAATGTAAATATCTGATAGTCAGGATGGATTTTCATTTGCTGGACCAAATTTGGCACAAATCCCCAATACACTCACATTTGAATACTGGTGGGGTTGGAAGGGATTGATTTTGTCATATAGGAATTGTTGTGCTGGGATTTATAGTTCACCTACAATCAAAGAGCATTCTGAACTCCAACAGTAAACTTGAACAAAACTTGGAACACAGAACTCCCATGACCAACAGAAAATACTGGAAGGGTTTGGTGGGCATTGACCTTGAGTTTGGGAGTTATAGTTCACCTACATCCAGAGAGCACTATGGACTCAAACAATGATGGATCTGGACCCAACCTGGCATGCATACTCGATATGCCCAAATATGATCACTGGTGGAATTTGGGGAACATAGACCTTGGCATTTGGGAGTTGTAGTTGCTGTGATTTTATGAGTTGCTGTGATTTTATGTGTTTTTATGGGTCCTGGTCACTTGTTGGCCTGATAGGTGTCTTGTGTCCAAATTTGGTGTCAATTTGTCCAGTGGTTTTTGAGTTATGTTAATCCCACAAATGAACATTACATTTTTATTTATATTGTAATATTATTAGTAATATTACATGTACTATAAAATATATAATTTATATTTAGCTTGTTATCTGACCCCAGAACTCGACGTGGGGTTCCTCTATTAAAACCCCAGAATGTGTCTTTGCCTTAGGCCCTAAATGATGACATAATGCGGGTGTCCAGCCGGTTGGAGTACCTGGAGAAAGAACTCAGCCAAAAAAACGGGCAGCTTTGCCGTAGCAGTGCCCATGATCAGCAGCAGATCCGGCAAGAAATCAACAACCTGAGGCAAGAGAAGGATCAGCTGCTCAAACAAAGGCTGGAGATAGACAACAAGCTGCGCCAGGGCACCTTGCTCTCTCCAGAGGTTCGTGGACATTTTGTCTTCTTATGGGTGCATTCCTGATGTGCTACAAGCTAGCATTCCAGGGCCCTTTGTGTGTGGTTTGATAGTTTGTTGGGAAAACTACCGGGAAAAGGTGATCTGTGGTATTAAATCATAACTTTCAATAAAGTGTAAGGAAGAACTTGACTACTGGCAATATTGGGGTGTGACTTTGGGAGCTTTGTTTTAGTTATCATGTACGTTTCCCAAATTGAATTCATGTTGAACTGAGTTGCACCCTTCATCTGCTAAGCACTGGGTGGTTTTTGACTTAGTAGATCCTGTTGACTTTGCTGGCTTCATCGCCTTCCTTCCCTTCCTTCCTTCCTTCCTTCCTTCCTTCCTTCCTTCCTTCCTTCCTTCCTTCCTTCCTTCCTTCCTTCCTTCCTTCCTTCCTTCCCTCCCTCCCTCCCTCCCTCCCTCCCTCTCTCCTCTCCTCTTCCTTCTTCCTTCCTTCCTTCTCTTCTCTCCTTCCTTCCTTCTTCCTCCTCTTCTTCCTCCTCTCTCCCTCCTTCCTTCCTTCCTTCCTTCCTTCCTTCCTTCCTTCTTCCTTCCTTCCTTCCTCCCTCCCTCTCTTTCTCTCTCTTCCTCCCTTCCTTCCTTTCTTCCCTCCTTCCCCCCTTCCTTCCTTCCTTCCTTCCTTCCTTCCTTCCTTCCTTCTCTCTCTCTCTCCTTCCTTCCTCCTTCCTTCCTTCCTTCCTTCCTTCCTTCCTTCCCTCCTCCTCCCTCTTTCCTCTCTCTCCTTCCTTCCTTCCTTCCTTCTTTCTTCCTCCTCCCTCCCTTCCTCTTTCCTTGTCTACTTCCTTCCTTCCTTCCTTCCTTCCTTCCTTCCTTCCTTTCCTTCCTTCCTTCCTTCCTTCTTTCTTTCTTTCTTTCTTTCTTTCCTTCCTTCCTTCCTCTTCCTCCCCCCTTTCCTCTCTTTCCTCTTTTCCCCTTTCTTCCTTTTTCTACCTATTCTTGGACTGCAACTTCCAGCAGTCCCCCTGATCAATCTATCTAACTACTTATCTATCTCTATCTAATCTATCTATCTGGAGGATTGCTGGGAGTTGCAGTCCAGGAATATGCAGGGATTGGGATGCTCTCAAAGAAATCCAAGGAGAAGAAAGCTTGCATCTTGGAAGCAGTGCATTTGGCTCATCCTCCTCTCCTAAAGGGCCTAGTTTAGGGGATGCTGGGAGCTGTAGTCCGGAAGAGAGTGCGGATATGCATTGAATGCTTGCCATCTTTTGCTGTAATCCACCCTGAGTCTCCTCGGGGAGTGAGTGAGGAATATAAAGTTTTATTATTTTATTATTATATTATTCATTCTTTACTTCCATTTCCCAAATGGGAGTCATACGCGACTATATTATAGGGTTAAGGAAAAGAGTAATGGATGAGAATCCCTTCACCCAAGCGGCAATACAGTAGAGTCTCACTTATCCGACATAAACGGGCCGGCAGAATGTCGGATAAACTAAAATATCAAATAATAGGAAGTCTAACCTACTGTTACCTGTCCATTGCGGTGCTAGACACCTAGAATACTATCAACAGGGACTCAAAGAGTTAAGGCAAGGCAATGCCTCGGGACTAGAGCGGCTCAGCAGGAAGTGCCCGGTTGCGGAACTGGAGCGTGGAAATCACCAAAGGGAAGGAGGGAGAATGTTTCTGCTTCCGGTCCTGCCTCTTTTCCCTCTTTTCTCTCCCCCCCCTCCTCCTCTTCCTCCTCCTCCTTGTCTTGACTTTTTCTGTTCTGGTACAGCTGTAGCAGGAGCTCCAACTTTATTTGCTTTGTATTACATATTTGTTTGCAGTCCCAGGTTTCAGGGACTCTGCAGATAGGTAGCTTCTTTTGGCTGCAGTCATAGGGCAAGTCACCTGTCCATCATCGTTAAGTTTTGGTCCTGCCCCTTGCTCAGGGCAATTGGGAAGGGAAGGGAGCCATTTTTTAGTTAGTCTCAGCAAGGAAAGCTAATGTATAGGACGTGTGCAAGCTTCTCCTGTACAAAAGCTTCAACCTTTAAGAATTTCCAGGGAAACAGCCCTAAAGCCCAAAGAACTCCAGCTGGAGAACATCTAAGCCTTTACTGGTAGGTCCACTCAGTATTCGAGATGCAGTTCAACCTGGTAGCTGAACCCACATTAGTAAGGGTTAGATTACAGTCAGCCTGGAAGAAGTTAAAAAGGGGACTTTCCTTTAAAGAAGAAGTTATTGAAGACAATTGCCTGTCCTTCGTGGGCAAGATTAGGAATTCACCAGATGCCTAAAAGCTTGGAATCATTTGCTTAACTTTACTGAAGACAAGAGAAGTTTCTGTTTGATTGTTCATTAATAAAAGACTTTGTTGTACTTCACAAGCCATCTAAAGACTATTTGTGGTGAAAACCCTCTGAGAACTTCTCTTTGGGCTTCCTGCTGGGCAAAGGTTGCACATCCTGTGCAACCTTTACAGGCCCAGCGTGTGACAGAACATTTTCACTTATTGGGAATGGAGACAGAGTTGAGGAGCATTCCTTTAATTGAAGGGGAAATGCCGGAGGAAAAGAGGGGCGTTGGATAAGAGCGTTGGATAAGACCGAAGGTCAGATAAGCAAGACTCTCCTGTATTGATGATAACCTTTGACAATTAAACAGTGTTCCATCTTCATCTCCATTTAGGAAGAACGGATCCTTTTCCAGCTAGATGAAGCCATTGAGGCTCTAGATGCGGCCATAGAATACAAAAACGAGTCCATCACTTGCAGGCAGCGGGTCTTGCGCTCCTCGGCCAGCCTTCTTTCCCAGTGTGAGATGAACCTCATGGCAAAACTCAGCTACCTCTCCTCCTCCGAGACCCGGGCATTACTTTGCAAATATTTTGATAAGGTGAGTGTGATGAAGTGTAAATTTTTATCTACAGTTATATATTGTTATAGATAAGTGTTCGTAATGGTAAGTATATAGAGGAAGGCTGATTCCTTGCTATTAAGAATCAGGAAGGTTTTGGCTTTGTGCCAATATAGTTTAGATAGGTTTAGAACAGTTACTTTTAATATAAATAAGTAACTGTTGTGGGAAAAAAGGGGAAGCCCTTATAAGCATCTTTATTGTAACAGAACCATCATAAAGAAAGAATAAACAATCTGTTAAAGAAAGAAACACCTTTTTGAAGGTACTAAGTTTGAGACCTGTTTGTTAGTAGAATTAGACCTCCTAAGAGTTATTTAAGAACTGTTTTGAATGTAACATTTGAAGATCTGTACCTCTTAGGCTTGGGCGGTTTCGTTCGTTAATTTCGTAATTCGTTATTAATTCGTATTTAAATTAGCTTACGATCCAATATTGAGCCATGCAGGAATTGTGTGAGGAGTAATAAAGATTCGAAACAATTTTTCAATTTATTTCGTAATTATTTCGTAATTATTTTCGCATGTCTGGTGCAAGTTTTATAGTTGTTGTTTGTTTTATCACACCAACAGTCAACAACAGAGGGAGAGGGAAGCTTCAGAAGTTCCTCCTGTCCCATTTGGAGGTTTTTTTAGCATATTGCGCAATCTCGTCCGCCATTAACAAATCGATTCATAATTTTACAAAATTTCGTAAATTTCAAAAAATTTTAAAGGAAAATTTCGGAATTATTAAAAAAAACGAAACGCAAGGGCCCCCTAAAAACAAAACGAGTTTAGAACCAAATTTTTCCGTGGTTACCCAAGCCTAGTACCTCTAAGAGAAAGGACACTTTGAAACCATCAAGCTTCTGTACATCAATAAACTTGTTACAGTTTCTTTTTAAAGTCAAGCCTATGTTGCCATTCCTTTCCAAGTCAAGTCACACTACATATTGAAGAAAGACCAAAGCAACATTACAAGCTATTGGTTGTGTCATCAATTTAATAAGCCCTCACAAAGAGGTGGCTTCTTTTACCAACTCTCTACATATTGATAGTAGTTATATTTATACATCCTTGCAATTTGGTGGCACCATTACAAATTAGTGGCCAAGCCTTTACAATTAGTAGCAGTAATATACTGGCTCCTTCACAGTGAGTAACAGCATTATTCTACTCAATTAAAGGTGCACTGTCCAATAGTGCAGCAGTTATAAATTTTATGGAAGCCAACGTGACAAAAATGTATTTTGAGGTATATTATCAGTTTATATTAATAAACTGAGCATTTGCACAGTTAAAACTTGTGCACCAGCTGTGCCTGTGCCTTGGGAAGTCTGACTTGGCCATGGCAGTCCACGCTCTGGTTACATCCCATATAGACTACTGCAATGCGCTCTACATGGGGTTGTGTTTGAAGACTGTCCAGAAGCTTCGAATGGTCCTACGGATGGCAGTCAGATTAATAATGGGAACGACGCTCAGGGAGCATGCAACTCCTCTGTTGCGCCCGCTCCACTGGCTGCCAGTCTGCTACCGGGCACAATTCAAAGTGCTGGCTTTAGCCTATAAAGCCCTAAACGGTTCTGGCCCAACTTACCTGTCCAAATGTATCTCTCCCTATGAACCAGGAGCTTAAGATCGTCTGGGAAGGCCCTACTCTCACTCCCACCTCCTTTACAGATGCGATTGGCAGGAATGAAAGACAGAGCCTTCGCAGTGGTGGCCCCTCTGCTATGGAACACCCTTCCTAGGGACATTAGATCAGCCCCCTCCCTCTTAACATTTAGGGAAAGAGTCAAGACTTGGTTGTTTGAGCAAGCGTTTGAAAATGCAAGGTAAATGACATTGGAATTGGAACGACTGGACGACGAGATGGGACATTTTTTTAAATTAAGAGATGCAAATGATCTATGCTTTAATATTCTTGTTATGGTTTTATATTATGTGTGAATGTTTTTAAATGTTTTATGGTGTTTTGGGGCATTGAATCATTGCCATTGTAAACCGCCCTGAGTTGCTTGAGGGCTGAGAAGGGCGGTATACAAATACAGTAAATAAATAAATAAATAAATGGTGGTGGTGGTGCAGTGGGTTAAACTGCTTCAGTTGCATAACAAGGTGATAGTGCAGGCATGGTCAAACTTGGGCCCTCCAGGGGTTTTGGACTTCTCACAATTCCTAACAGCCCGGAGGACCCAAGTTTGCCCATGCCTGTGATAGTGTGTTAGCAGTGAGATCATTCATGATGTCCATCTCTTTGTTTTGGGCCAGGTGGTGACTCTTCGGGAGGATCAGCACAGGCAACACATTGCCTTTTCGGAACTAGAAATGCAGCTGGAGGAACAGTTGCAAATGGTGTTTTGGCTGGAAGTCGCCCTGGAGCGCCAGCGCCTAGAGATGGACCGCCAGCTCACCCTCCAGCAGAAAGAGCATGAGCAGAACATCCAGCTTCTGCTCCAACAGAGCCGAGGTAACAAAGGACCTTCATGCCTATTGATAAGCTTCCTGCGGTCAGAGTTTCCCAAGCTTGAGTGCAAACTTTTTATCTCTTTTCACAGAGCACATGGATGAAGGACAGGTGAACAGTAGGCTTCAGTATCAGGGAAGGATAAAGGCGCTGGAAAGGGAATTGGTCCATTACAAGCGGATGGCCCAAGAACTGACCCAGAAGCTGAGCATAACCCAGTTGGAAGGACAAGCCAGATGTGATGGTAAGCCACCAGCTGTTCTGCCTTCGTCATGGTCCCATATATAACTATTCTATTCAGCAGGTAACCAATGCCCAGTCTCGATAAAATAGTAAAGAGTAGAGACATCAGACTGGCAACCAAGATCCACTGCCTAGTCAAAGCCATGGTCTTCCCTGTAGTCACCTACGGATGTGAGAGCTGGACCTTAGGGAAGGCTGAGCGAAGGAAGAGAGATGCTTTTGAGCTGTGGTGTTGGAGGAAAGTGCTGAGAGTGCCTTGGACTGCGAGAAGATCCAACCAGTCCATCCTCCAAGAAATAAAGCCCGGCTGCTCACTGGAGGGAAGGAGACTAGAGACAAAGTTGAAGTCCTTTGGCCACATCATGAGGAGACAGCAAAGCCTAGAGAAGGGAATGGTGCTGGGGAAAGTGGAAGGCAAAAGGAAGAGGGGCCGACCAAGGGCAAGATGGATGGATGGCATCCTTGAAGTGACTGGACTGACCTTGAAGGAGCTGGGGGTGGTGACGGCCAACAGGGAGCTCTGGTGTGGGCTGGTCCATGAGGTCACGAAGAGTCGGAGACGACTGAACGAATGAACAACAACAACAGGTAACACAGTTCAGTCTGTATTTGGAAGAGAAAGCAAGATAGCTGTGGCCAGCGTGACTTAAGAAAAAGAGCATTCTTTTAAAAGGAAGTAAACCAGCCATGGGCAAACTTTCTAACTTGGGGGTCGATCAGGCCGGGAGGAAGAGAGGGGGCTCTCCCCAAGTCCCCTCCCTGCTCTTCCCTTCCCTTCCCTTCTTCTTCTCTTTTGGAGGCAGAAAGTGAAGGAAAGATGGGAAATGTTTGGATCCCAAAAAGGTTTAGCTTTCGTCAGGATGCGATGGTGAATGGGAACAAAAACGTGTTTCCATTCGTCCCCCGTATTGCCTACTCCTGATATAGAATCCTAGAGACCCCAAGGGCTATCAAGTCCAACCCTCTTCCGTGCAGGAAGGCACAATCAAAGCACTCCTGATAGATAGCGTCTGCGGAAAAGCCTCCAGATGAGACTCCACCACACTCTGAGTCAGCCTATGCCACTCTCCAGGAAGTTCTTCTTAATCTTTTGAGTCCAATCTCTTTCCCTGCCATTTGAACCCATGGCTCCCTTGCGCCCTGGTCTCTAGAGCAGCAGAAAGTCAGTTTCCCCTCCACCTCCTTCTCCTTCTCCTCCTCAATGGGACAACCTTTGAAATCTTGAAACATGGTTCTCATGTTCCCTCTCAACCATCTTTTCTCCCAGCTAAACATCCCCTAGGAGGAAAGGAGGAAGAAAAAAGAGAAGGAAGGGAGAAAAAGAATGGAAGGAAGAGTGGAAGCGAATAGAGGGAGGAAAAGAGAGAAGGAAGGAAAGACAAAAGGGAGGGAAGGAACGAAGGAGAAAGAGAGAAAGGGAAGGAGGGAGGAAAGAGGGCCCATCAAGGTCATTTGCTTGGTCCCTTGCTCCCACCACTCACTCCTGACAATCTCCAATAACCAAATTACTAATATAAAGGGAAGACATTCAGCCAAACTATTTTATTTATTTATTTATTTACTTTATTTGTATACCGCTCTTCTTTCTCAGCCCTTAGGCGACTCAGAGCGGTTTACAACAGTTTAGGTATACACAATACAAAATCATTAGGCATTTAAAAACAATAGCATCACAAATCAATTAAACATCAGCATCAATACATCACTACATCAATGTAACAAATCCATCAGGTCTCATCGATGAAATCAGAATCCAAACTCGTTATCCATTATTCCGTGTTCCAATAGTCAGTCAATCAATCACACTGCTTAGCCGAATGCCTGTTCAAACATCCAGGTCTTTACTTTCCTCCGGAATGCCAGCAAGGAGGGGGCCGATCTGATATCTGTAGGAAGGGTGTTCCACAGCTGAGGGGCCACCACTGAGAAGGCCCTGTCTCTCGTCCCCACCAGGCGTGCTTGTGAAGCCGGCGGGATCGAGAACAGGGCCTCCCCAGACGATCTTAATGTCCTAACTGGTTCATAGGAGGAGATGCATTTTTCTTCTACCATTTAGAGTAGGTAGGGTCTCTTGTGTTTTGGAAGTTGAAGTTCAAAACACTTGAAGGGGCAAAGTTGGCCCATATTTATTTATTTATTATTTATCGTGTCAGGAGCGAACCAAACCAGTTGTATTGCATTAAAAAACAGACAAACAAACAAAACACAAAATTTGCAAACTTGGTATTCTCTTTAGGGTTTGGTAGTTGATTAAATGTCCTTTGACCAGTATCTGGCCACTTGGAGTACCTCTGGTGTTGCCGCAAGGAGGTCCTCCCTGGTGCATGTGGCAGGGCTCAGGGTGCATTGCAGGAGGTGGTCAGTGGTTGGCTCTTCTCCACTCTCACATGTCGTGGATTCCACTTTGTGGCCCCATTTCTCAAGGTTGGCTCTGCATTTCGTGGTGCCAGAGCGCAGTCTGTTCAGCGCCTTCCAAGTCGCCCAGTCTTCTGTGTGCCCGGGGTGGGTGGGGTGGTGGTAGTCTCTCATTTGGTATCAGCCATTGGTTGAGGTTCTGGGTTTGAGCCTGCCACTTTTGGACTCTCACTTGCTGAGGTGTTGCAGCGAGTGTCTCTGTAGATCTTAGAAAACTATTTCTTGATTGAAGTCGTTGGCATGTTGGCTGATACCCAAACAGTTGGCCCATGCCTGGTTTAGATGTATGCTTCTCCACTTGGTGTAAGTTATTTTTATAAATAGTTATTAATATTCTTTCATAGCTTCATCTGTGTTTTTGTGATTGTTGTCCATGGTTGAAACTTTGTCCGTCTGTATTTGTACGCAAAAAATTGCACCATGCTAAGATACCTCTCTTCTCATGCAGGTATGGAAAGAGTCGGGCATGCAGTTGGGGACAGACATGATTCACTTCAGGTAGCCAATCAGATAAGCACCAATGGCATGTTGGAGCCATGTTTGCAGCTGGAGGGAAGCCATGGGTCTGGGGAGGAACCCAGAGACTTTGTCCATGCACCGCTCCCACCGACCTGGAGGCGCTCTTCGCTCTCTAATGCCATCTCCTTGGTACCAGAAGAGTTCCAGCAGAAGGAGGAGGAGAACCTGTCCAGAGCCAGCCAAGTGAAGGAAGTATCCCTGCCACAAGGTCTCGTTCCCATCCTGAAATCCCGCAAGGACCTTCACAAGCCAGGCCTCACAGGGGGGTCTTACCGTGACATCATTGATGTCCGAAAAAATCCACTCTAAACAGAAGCTGCTCAGAATTTGGGGGAAAAACACACACAAATGAATTGTGTAAATAGACAAGCTCCCTACCTGTAACCACTGATGGTTGCTTAAGTTAAGGTGCCAGTGTAATTCTCAAATTGACAAGCCTTTTGTATGAGCTGCTTTGGATTTTCTTTTCCTCCGTATCTGCTTCTTCTTACTTAGAGAAGAAAGCGAGGTCTTTCATGTACAGAAAACACACCTTCGTTCAGGGAGTGCTTGTTGTATAAATATGTTCATTTTATAGCCTTTTATAGTGTTCTCTATACACATAATAAAAGTGAAAATATGTATGTGTGTATGTGGCAGCGGTGTCCACTTTCACAGACAACCTCCTATCTCCACAAACAGCTATAGTTCCCACTACGCAGAAGACACCAATGGCCCTCCCTCCAATGACATTGAAGGTAATAGTGAACACCATGTCCAAGAGCCTTGCCAATGTTCTCCACCAACACCATACTGCCCACCACCCAAGTGAAGGCTTTCATACATATGTGTTTCCTCCACCACAGACATCCCAGTGTTCCTTAATCTCTCTTCATTGGTGTGGAATTTGCATGACCCCGCCCACTGCCTCTCCCAAAACCCTTTCCTACTCTGCTCTAGGGCATAAAAATTGAGAGAAACGGATCGGCAACTGAACATACTGGAGGGGTTTGGGAGAGTTACTCAATGTGATGGAAGTTGTAGTTCACCCTGCACAGACAGTGAGCCTGGACATTTGACACACAGAACCTCCATGACCAACAAAAATACTTGAGAGGTTTGTGGGTAGTTGGCCTTGATGTATAGGAGTTGTAGGCCCTGGGATGTATAGTTCACCTGCAATCTAAGAGCACTCTGAACTCCACCAACGATGGACCTGGAACTAACTTGACACAGAACCTCCATGACCAACAAAAATACTGGAGAAATTTGGGGGGAGTTGACCTTGACGTATAGGAYTTGTAGGTCCTGGGATGCATAGTTCACRTGCAATCTAAGAGCACTCTGAAGTCCACCAACGATGGACCTGGAACTAACTTGGRACAGAKCCTCCATGACCAAGAAAAAATACTGGAGAAGTTTGGGGGGAGTTGACCTTGATGTATAGGAGTTGTAMGTCCTGGGATGCATAGTTCACCTGCAATCTAAGAGCACTCTGAAGTCCACCAACAATGGACCTGGAACTAACTTGGTACAGAACCTCCATGACTAACAAAAAATACTGGAGAGGTTTGGGGGGMAAGTTGACCTTGATGTACAGGAGTTGTAGGTCCTGGGATGTATAGTTCTCCTGCAATCTAAGAGCACTCTGAACTCCACTAATGATGGACCAGGAACTAACTTGGCACAGAACCTCCATGATCAACAAAAAATACTGGAGAAGTTTGGGGCGAGTTTGCCTTGATGTATAGGAGTTGTAGGTCCTGGGATGTATAGTTCACCTGCAATCTAAGAGCACTCTGAACTCCACCAACGATGGACCTGGAACTAACTTGGTACACAGAACCCCCTTGACCAACAAAACATACTGGAGGTCTTTGGAGGGATTTATGGGAGTTGTAGTTCACCTACATTCAGAGCGCATTGTGAACCGACTCTGGACCAAACTTGACACACTGACCCAACATCGCCAAGTTTTAATTTTTGCAAATTGCCGTTCACCCACGTCTTTATGCATTTTCTAATGAGAGCATTCATAAAAATCAAAAGGAAAGCCTGACTTTTTCTAATAAATAATATTACAAATTACCAAACTGATATTATTACCTAACATCGAAAAATAAACAATGCCTTTTTCAAACAATCCAGGCATTGCTGGTCCCCAAGCTAGTTTTCTAAAAAGCAGAAGAGCCTTTTGTAAGAAAGTATATTTTATATCCCCTTACACCTTATATAACATACTATACAGTTTGTCTTCTTCTATATCCAATGGCAGATTCTGATGATAATGAACAGGAACAGAATTTGAGCTTACAACCCTTGGGTGGACTTTAAAAACGCAGTTGCAATGAAACACATTTAAAACAAATGCAAATAAGATGAGAAATTGCAGGAGTCTGATGACCTAGAGCAGGCATGGACAAACTTGGTCCCTCCCTCTAGATGTTTTGGAATTCAAAACATGTTAGGAATTGTGGGAACTGAAATTGAAAACATCCAGAGGGAGGGCCCAAAATTTCCCATGCCTTCCTTAGAATATAGCTGGGATAAGTACCTCAGTACCAATAAAAACAAAACAATCCAGAGCATACTAATTTATTTTACAATATTCATTAAAAATTGGTTCCCCATAGTTACATACTTGTTTGATGCGATGGCCCCAACTCTGTTCCAAAACTGCACCATGTTGACAGCCATGTTTTGGCATCGCAAGAGCCACGTCTCTCTCCTGGTTCTGGCAGGAAGGACTTTTACTAACTGCAAACCAGCTGCAAACGCATAAGCAACACCCGTTTGCGGCAGCTGGCAAAAACAACTTGGGTTTGACCTTAAAGTTGCCTAAGGCGGCTTGGCCAGCTTGTTCTGAATATCCCAGCATCTTGCTCCCAAGTTCAAGTGAGCAGTCTTTTCCGTGAATAGGTTCTGCTGACAGGACGCTGCCTGGTGCCTGTGCTGCGGAAGGGAGACAAGTCTTCGTTTGCACCTCCAAACACATCAGCCTCATCTCCTGTCAAGGAGAACAATGTATAGATATCAGAGTACAGAACAGAGAGGCACGGCCCTAATGCACGACCCCTTAATACAGTTCCTGTTGTGGTGACCCAGCTCTTTTGGGATCCAAACGTTCCCTGTCTTTCCTATAGTACAGTGAGGGGACTTGGAGAGAACGCCCTCCCTGCTCTAGGGAGGGCGTTCTAGTTTGCCCATGCTCTAGTTTGCCCTGCTCTAGTTTGCCCATGCCTGCTCTAGGATGGGAAAAGTTACGAAATGCAAGAGATTGAATGCTTAGAGAATATAACATACTAGCTGTACCCTGCCACGCGTTGCTGTGGCCTATAGTAAGAATTTTCAAAGTAGAGGTAGATATCTGGACTATTATAAAAGAGAGGTACCTACCTATTCCTTCCCCTCTTTTTCTTCCCCTTCCCCTTTCTCTCCTTTCTTCCTTCTCTACCTCTTTCTTTCATTCCTTATTTCACTCTTTGGTTTCATCCTTTCCCTCTTTCTCTCTCACACACTCCCTCCTTTCCCCTCTTTCTCTTTCTCTCTCTCACGTTCCCCCTTTCTCTCCTCTCTGTCTCTCTCCTTCCCTCCTTCTCGCGTTCCCTCTTTCTCTCGTCTCTGCCTGGCCTCACTCCCTCCTTTCTTCTCCCTTCCTTCTCTCACACACTCCTTCCTTTCCCTCTTTCTCTCTCTCTCTCGCGTCCCTCCTTCCTCCCCCTTCTCTCTTTCACTCCATCCTTCTCTTTCTCTCCCTCCCTCTTTCTCACTCTCTCACACACTCCCTCCTTTCTCCTCTTTCTCTCTCTCTCGCGTTCCCCCTTTCTCTCCTCCCTCTCTCTCTCCTTCCCTCCTTCTCTCTTTCTCGCGTTCCCTCTTTCTCTCGTCTCTGCCTGGCCTCACTCCCTCCTTTCTTCTCTCTTCCTTCCTTCTCTCACACACTCCCTCCTTTCCCCTCTTTCTCTTTCTCTGTCTCGCGTTCCCCCTTTCTCTCCTCCCTCTCTCTCTCCTTCCCTCCTTCTCTCTTTCTCGCGTTCCCTCTTTCTCTCGTCTCTGTCTGGCCTCACTCCCTCCTTTCTTCTCTCTTCCTTCCTTCTCTTGCTCTCTTTCCCTCTTTCCTTGGAGGGGGCGTGGGTGGGGGAAGAAGAAGGAGGGGGAGGAGGGATGGGTTTTGACAGGGCGGGAAGGGGCGTGGGGCAGGGCGGGGTTTGGAGGGGGCGTGGCTTCCTTGGAGGGGGCGTGGGCGGGGGAAGAAGAAGGAGGGGGAGGAGGTAAGTTTGGCGAACGTGATCGTGTGGGGCGGGGCGGGGGAGGGAGGGGGCAGAGGGTGCGTTGGCCGTTCGGCCATGTGCGCGCGCCGGGGACTTGTGGCGGGGCGCCATTGCGCATGCTCAGTTGTTTTGTCTAATTGTGAGTGTGTTTTAATGTTGTTTAATATTTTGAATCAATTTGTGCATACCTTGTGGGTTGAGGTATGTGCATGGGAATTTTGGTAAATTTTCGTCGGGGTTTTTTTGAGTTTTGCTGTCCCGTTGGACTCCCTTTTCATTTTTATATATATAGATAGAAGTAGGCTCAAATTCAAGGAGCATATGCTACTAGCGAGAGTTTGCAAGACTTGGAATGAGCTGATGATGGTTGGGGTTCCTATGGTGTTTTTATTCTTTGGGCCACCTTTAGTTGAAGCTACATTAATGACAGATAATGATTTTAAATAAGCAGCAATAATTTTTACCAGTGGCAGACTTCCTGAGGGAAGGGGCAAAGCCTTGATAGAGAAGTGGAGATTGAGTGAGTGCCCGAAGACCACTGACAGAGACGGTGCCCTTTCCTGAAGACTTGGATGGACTCATTGCTGCGAACAAAAAGAGATTGAAACAAAAAAGAAATGAAGACACGTTAAGCTGCTGTTAGCCCCAGCTCCTGCTAACCTAGCAATTCAAAAACATGCAAATGTGTTTGAAGGTACTGACTCGACAGGAAGGTAAACAGCGCTCCATATAGTCATGCCGGCCACATGACTGAGGAGGTGTCTATGGACAACGCAGGCTCTTTGGTTTAGAAATAGAAATGAGCACCACCCCCAGAGCCAGAGATGAAAGGGAAAGCCTTTGCCTTTACCTTATCTGTGTATCTGTATGCTACTGTTTCTAGGCATCGAATATTTGCCTTTGTGTATATTATTATTATTTTATTATTTCAAATATTTGTACCCCACCCTTCTCTACCCCCGAGGGGGGACTCTTGGTCCGAAGCCTGTCCATAGTCCATTTACCATAGCAATTGTCATCATTTACCAACCTACTATCCAAATGCCTAGTCCCATAGCCACATTTTCAACTTTTTCCTGAAGGACAGGAGGGAAGCAGTTGGCCTAATTTCGCTGGGGAGCGAGTTCCACAGGCGAGGGGCCACCGCTGAGAAGGCCCTGTCTCTTGTTCCCGCCAAGCGCGTTTGCGACAGAGGTGGGATCGAGAGCAGGGCCTCCCTGGAAGATTGTTAAGCTTCAAGGTGGGACGTAGGGAGAGATTCATTCGGACAAGTAAGCTGGCTGGGCCAGTACCATATAGGGCTTTATAGGTCAAGACCAGATTCCATATGATGTGTTCCCTCAAGGAGATTGGGCGGGATTCAAATAAAGTACTATTATTATTATTATTATTATTATTAGCTGTCCCCTGCCACGCGTTGCTGTGGCCCACATGGGGGTTCTGTGTGGGAGGTTTGGCCCAATTCTATCGTTGGTGGGGTTCAGAATGCTCTGTGATTGTAGGTGAACTATAAATCCCAGCAACTACAACTCCCAAATGTCAAGATTCTATTTTCCCCAAACTCCACCAGTGTTCACATTTGGGCATATTGAGTATTCGTTGTAGAGTTTGGTCCAGATCCATCATTGTTTGAGTCCACAGTGATCTCTGGATGTAGGTGAACTACAACTCCAAAACCAAAGGACACTGCCCATCAAATCCTTCCAGTATTTTCTGTTGGTCATGGGAGAACTGTGTGCCAAGTTTGGTTCAATTCCATCGTTGGTGGGGTTCAGAATGCTCTTTGATTGTAAACTATAAATCCCAGCAACTACAACTCCCAAATGACAAAATCAAATTTAAGAGAGATATTGACAAGATGGAATGTGTCCAGAGGAGGGTGACTAAAATGATCAAGGGTCTGGAGAAACAAGCCTATGAGGAGTGGCTTAAGGAGCTGGGCATGTTTAGCCTGAAGAAGAGAAGGCTGAGAGGAGATATGATAGCCATGTATAAATATGTGAGAGGAAGCCACAGGGAGGAGGGAGCAAGCTTGTTTTCTGCTTCCCTGGAGACTAGGACGCGGAACAATGGCTTCAAACTACAAGAGAGGAGATTCCATCTGAACCTGAGGAAGAACTTCCTGACTGTGAGAGCCATTCAACAATGGAACTCTCTGCCCCGGAGTGTAGTGGAGGCTCCTTCTTTGGAGGCTTTTAAACAGAGGCTGGATGGCCATCTGTCAGGGGTGATTTGAATGCAATATTCCTGCTTCTTGGCAGAATGGGGTTGGACTGGATGATGGCCCATGAGATCTCTTCCAACTCTAGGATTCTATGATTCTATGAAATCAATTTTTTTTTAGTGATGGTCACTCCTTGGGTTAGTAGCTGTCTTGTGGCCAAATTTGGCAGCAATTCGTCCAGTGGTTTTTGAGTTATGTTAATCCCACAAACAAACATTACATTTTTATTTATATAGATGATGATGATGATTATAATCACTACTACTACTACTACTACTACTACTACTAGATTACTGAAATTGAGTTTGGATAGGTCAGTAGGACAAGAATGAGGACAATAAAAGGAGTCTGAAATTGAAAATTACGAGGAAAAATAAACAAAACATACCTGAGAAGATCTCTTCTTCCAGGATTGCCCTGTTTGCAGACTCTACTCCTTTTCCGATGCTCTGCTCCTCCGCTGAGAAGACAGCTTCCCCGGGGCTTTCTCTTTTGGGGCAGGACCTTTTTACTTCCTGGCCGTTCTCCTTTTCTGGAGACATGTTTTCCAAAGTTCTTTTCCTGGACTTCAGTCGAGATGCTCCGCTGCAAGTGTTCTCATCCCCACTGGGCTCCGTGTCACTGCAAGTGGACTCCTCTGGAAGACTAGAAACTCCTTCTAGTTCAAATTCCCCCAGATGCAATACTTTATTCCCACTTAAGAGCTCGGACGGTCTCATTCCTGCTGCACTGTGGATGGCCACTTCCACCCCTGCAAGCCTTTCACTCTTCCTGCTTCCCACAGAGGCTTTTTTCCTCCGTGGCCAGTCTTTAATTGCTTCCGGAGTTACTTTTCCTTTCTGTTTCGGAGAAGGTGTCCACGGAACACCACTGCCTTGGGACGGGGAACAAGTATAGGTAGAGGGGCAGCGGGTGGGTGTGTACGACTGGCAGATGTAGGTCTGCCCGCCTCCAAACTTTCCCGGAGTGCTGTGGGTAGAGTGGACGCAGGGCGGGGAAATGGATGCAGGCTCAAGTTTCCCAGAGGAAGTCCCAGAAGAGGTGAGATCGCTTTCTTCCTCTGTTTTAGGTTTCCCAGGCGCTACGGGGGTTGGCACTTCTGGAGCTGACGCAGAGGAAACTCTTTTGATTCGTAGCTTTGGAAGGCCAGAAGATTTCATCTCAAGCTCGACCTCATAGATGGGTGGGCTGCTTGCCACAGGCGCTGGATAACAAGTAGTCTGAGGGCTGCTGTCTCTCATTGCCTTCTCCGGATTCCCGAGCCGTGCTTCAGCCTCTCGTTGCCTTCTGTCCGGGGTGCAGCGCAGTGCGTAGGCACACGAACCAGTCAGTAGAGAAGGCCGGTTAGAAATAGGATTTTGCTGCTCTTTCTCTGGAAATGTTCTGCCACATGAAGCCCCTGGACCTTGGCTTGCTTGATAGCTACCTGGAGGGGCTTTGTTTAATATGGAGGAAATATCTAGCTCTTCACACACCACTATGGCATCTTCGATAATCCTCTGGGTTTTATTTAACCCAGTAGACAGGTATGTTTCGAAAACTCTCCTCTTACTTTGCATCATAAGTCTATTACTTTGTTTATGACTCTGTCCCAAGAACGTATTCTCTCCACGCTCAGGTCTGCAGAATTGATTGGTTTGATCAGAACCTCCATTCTGTTCCTTCTCATTATTTCCACACACAAATAAGTGCTCTTCAGTCCTGCTGGAAGCAGATTCAAGGAGTTTTGGTGGGGAGGTTTCTCTGTTATTTTGGGACCTCAAAGAAAACCTTTTGGGCACATGAGAATTCCTGGCCAATTCTTGGTTCTCGGTTGGTGAGACTGTGCATGTGGCCTCACCAGGTGTCACCTGAGGGAGTGATGGAGACTGAACAGGTGCAGAAAAGCCCTCGGTAGGCTTGGCACTCTTCGGGCTCGTTGGTCGTTCTGAGAGGGCACTTTCCAAAACCGTGGTTGCTGCCTTCAGAGAGTCCAACTCTAGAGACAAGGGTGGCTCCTGATACAGAACTCTTTCTGGATCCAGAGAGTGTTTCTGAGGAGACTGAGTGTTTGGGGTGACCCGCGAGGAACGCCTTAGAGATTTCAGTTTGGAAAATGGGTTTCCACTGGAATTTAATGGGACTGGAGGCACCGCAACAGGCAGAAGGGCTGCCGAAGTGCAACTGTCTGTAGGTGAAGCAAAGACATCATCAAGCGCCTCCTGCGTGGCTTGTCTTCCTAATATTTGCAAATTTGGCAGCTCAGTTGAAGAAGAAAGCCTTTCCAATGGCTGCACTGGGTCATCTTCTTCCTTTTCAAAAGATCCAGGCAAGGACTTGTTCTTCTGTTTAGAAGGAGAGAAAATGTTTGCCAACCCCTTGGCTGCTGTGCACTTTGGGAGAGGGCTTTTCAGAGTAGCGGTCTGCGGTTGCTTCTCTTGCAGACGTGGGGACCTTCTCAAGCCTTTGCCTGGGGGAGTTACAAGTCTTTGGGAAGACTGAAAGGGACTTTTTCTCGGTGTCTGTGGGAAACAAGTTCAAAAAGACGGTCACTTTGAGATAGGAATGTAATAGTGGTTTTGGAGATACAGATATTTTGGGCTTCAGTTCCAAGAAATCACAGCGATACTGAATTACAAAGTATCTGGAGGATGAAAGGTTCAGAACCATTGGAAGAGGAAATCGGGATGAATTTAGGTCTGATATTTGAAGCTATTCCCAGATAGGAAACTAACAAAGTAAGCAGGTATCAGCAAACTTTGGCTCTCCAAGTGTTTTGGACTTCAACTCCCACAATTCCTAACAGCTGGTAAGTCCAAAGCACCTGTAGGGCTGAAGTTTGCTCATGCCTGGAGTAAAGTATCACACATTGTAAGCAATATGTCAGAAAGGAGAGCTTAAAGTGTAGGGAGATTAATAGAAAATGTTGCACTCCAATAATATAATAATAATAATAAAACTTTATTGATATATCGCTCTATCTTCCCGAGGGGACTCAGAGCGGTTCCCAGATAAAAATCACAAAACATACAAAGTAAAAACAACATAACCATAAGAATTTTTTTGTCATGTCAGGAGTGATTGCAAGTCGCCCCTGGTGTGAGAGAATTGGCCATCTGCAAGGACATTGCCCAGGGGACACCTGGATGATTTGATGTTTTTATCATCCTTGTGGGAGGCTTCTCTCATGTCCCCGCATGAGGAGCTGGAGCTGATAGAGGGAGCTCATCCGCCTCTCCCCAGATTCGAACCTGCGACCTGTCGGTCTTCAGTCCTGCCGGCACAGGGGTTTAACCCACTGCGCCACTGGGGGGGCTCGGGCTAACCATAACATTAACAAAACAAAATATGCATAAAAATTGTCGCCATAAGGCTGGGAACCACCTCTGTACTTAGCATACACTCCAGTCCAAGGTAAAATAGCAAGCAGTTTATTGAGGAATATATATATAAAGCAATTCAGCAAAAAACCAAAGTCCAACTATCAGGAATAACCCACAGAAATCAAAGAACAGGAGTAGCATCAAAAACCAAGAATACAAAAGCAAAATAAATCCAAAACATGAGATTCAGGAACAGTCTTCAAAACTTGGAATCATGAGACACGAACAAAAGGGAACATGGAACTAGAAATCCCTTAAATTGACAATAGATCTATACTCAATCACCAACGTTGCTAGGACTAACGGACCCATCTGATGGGCAAGCTAATATAAAATCATGCCTTCTTCCCTGGGAAATTGATAAGGACTTCTTCACTAACAATTGTCTTGACCTTCATACACTCTCCTGAGAAGCCCTATGTTGACAAAACGTAAATCTCCTATCTAACTGCTCATTGCTCTGTCCACCTGGACCAGTGGTTCTCAACCTGTGGGTCCCCAGGTGTTTTGGCCTCCAACTCCAAGAAATCCTAGCCAGTTGACTAGCTGTTAGGATTTCTGGGAGTTGAAGGCCAAAACATCTGGAGACTCACAGGTTGAGAACCACTGCCCTGGACTTCATTTTCATCCTCTGAGCTCAGACCTGTTTGTGACTTTGCTTCTCTAGCGAACTGTCTTTCAGAATGTGGCCTTCAGACACAGACCACTCATTTTCCGGGCTTACAATCTCTTGCTGGCTTTCCTGCTGACTTGCAGACCCAGAATACCTAGTGTCACCAGAATGACCAACAGGCCCAGAATCCCCAGAGAGATCATGTGCAGGCACAATCAAAGGCTGAACAACAGAAAATAAACTGAAATATAAAGATGGCAGCTTTACCTGATAAACAGCAGGCTCATCAAAGGCCGACCGTTCTCCTTCTGGTCTCTGTGAACGCATCCCCGCCAAACTGGATTCCTCCAGGACTGCTCCAAAGAGAAGACTTTTGGGGGACTGGACAGCTGTTCTTATAGAAGGCGATGCCAAGCCTATTAAAAGAATATATCAGTTCAGACTGGTATGGATGGCTCCTAAGCACCATAACATTTTTGCTGGTTATCCATGCTTTCTGTTTCGAAACTGAATCTAGGGAGATTTGGGGTGCGTTTGAATCAATTAAGGGGGGAAAACCCCAGTTCTAATTATTAAAAGGCAAACCAAACATATTGTCATAAAGTCAAGGCAGGAAATGGAGTCTTTGCTAAACAGTGACAAAGTGGCAAGGGATTTCAGGGAGGGAGGAGAGGAGGGACAAACAGGAAGTCCTTAACCTTCTCTTTGTATCAGATGCAGCAAGCTGTTCAAAATAATGAATTGGGAGAGTAGTATCTCCCATAAGCAGTTCTCAGTCTCAGGTTCTTTCGCTGTCCTGGACTTGAACTCCAAAAGAAACCTCCCAAGCTAAAAACCATTTATCAAACATATCTGGATTAATAATAGGCCGTCTTTCAATCCTTGAAACTAAAAGAAAACACACTTATTACATTTTCTTGATCACCTGGGGATTCGAGATGTAGAGGGGATGGTGCATTCCTCTTACTACGTTGCAAACAGTGGAAGGAGCCAGAGAGGGTTCTGTCCAGAAATAGCTGCTTAATCCGTGGGCTTCTTCTTAAAGTACCTTAAAGAAAGTCAAAATGGTGTTTTATATGTTTTAATTATTGTGCGTTTAATATTTGATTCTGTTGTACACTTATTATTATTATTATTATTATTATTATTATTATTATTATCTATATTATATTCTTCTGTTGTAGTTTTATTTTATTTATTTATTTACGGTATTTATATTCCACCCTTCTCACCCCGCAGGGGACTCAGGGAAGATTACAAAGTACATATACATGGTAAACATCCAATGTCATAGACACACAACATATGTAGACAGATGCACAGAGGCTATTTAACATTCCAGCTTTTTCACGAGGGTATTCTGGCCACCAGGGGAGCTGTTGCTTCACTGTCCATTTGTGACACTGATGAAGTACTTCCTCATTCTTTGCATGCTTGCTGGATATATTTATTTATTTATTTATTTATTTATTTCTATTCCGCCCTTCTCACCCCGCAGGGGACTCAGGGCGGATTACTATGTACACATACATGGCAAACATTAATTGCTTGTATTGTTGTTATTATTGCTTGTATTGTTGTTTTTGGGCTCGGCCTCATGTAAGCCGCACCGAGTCCCTTGGGGAGATGGTAGCGGGGTACAAATAAAATGTTGTTGTTGTTATTATTATTATTATTATTAAACATTCAATGCCATGGACACACAACACATATAGACAGATAGTCAGAGGCTATTTAACATTCCAATTTTCTGGCCACCGGGGGAGCTGTCGCTTCACCGTTCATCATCGACACTGATGAAGTACTTTCCGCATTCCCCGAATGCTTTTGCTGGAGATTTCTTATGGCCTCATAAATTTCTTAAATTAGCCTCCCCACACCTAGGTGGCACCTAAATTTCCTACTTGACAGATGCAACTGTCTTTCGGGTTGCAAAGGCTGACAACAAGCTACACAAATTGTCCGGAAGCTCACTCTGACCCAGGCTGGCTTTGAACTCCTAACCTTTCGGTCAGCAGTGATCTTAACGCAGCTGACACCCAGCCAGCTGTGCCACAGTCCTGGTGGCATCGTAAATTAGCCTCCCCTCATAAGCAGTACCTAAATTTCCTACTTGACAGATGCAACTGTCTTTCGGGCTGCAAAGATCGACAGCAAGTTACACAAATTGGTCGGAAGCTCACTCTGATCCGGACTGTTGTAAGCCGCCCGAGTCCTTTTGGGAAGATATCAATAAAGCTATAAAGTCCTGACCTGAGAAACCAAACAGCAAGTCAAAACCTCTGTTGACATAATATTTCCATACTTCATTATGTTCTGTCAAGAGCAGGAAACTGCCAGGCCCTGGGCAAGACACATCCTGAGGTGTCTCTTCTGCTGCAACCTACCATTTCATCCAGCCAGGGAGAAGACACGAGACAACAAATACAGGTCCAGGAATTCAACTATAGAGTACAACTGCAGAAGAGATAGGCCTCCAGAACGCTGTGCTGACTCTGCAATTAGGATTCCAGCCTTAGAATCCTAGAATCAAAGAGTTGGAAGAGACCTCCTGGGCCATCCAGTCCAACCCCATTCTGCCAAGAAGCAGGAATATTGCATTCAAAGCACCCCTGACAGATGGCCATCCAGCCTCTGTTTAAAAGCTTCCAAAGAAGGAGCCTCCACCACACTCCGGGCAGAGAGTTCCACTGCTGAACGGCTCTCAGAGTCAGGAAGTTCTTCCTCATGTTCAGATGGAATCTCCTTTCTTGTAGTTTGAAGCCATTGTTCCATGTCCTCGTCTCCAGGGAAGCAGAAAACAAGCTTGCTCCCTCCTCCCTGTGGCTTCCTCTCACATATTTATACATGGCTATCATATCTCCTCTCAGCCTTCTCTTCTTCAGGCTAAACATGCCCAGCTCCTTAAGCCGCTCCTCATAGGGCTTGTTCTCCAGACCCTTGATCATTTTAGTCACCCTCCTCTGGACACATTCCAGCTTCTCAATATCTCTCTTGAATTGTGGTGCCCAGAATTGGACACAATATTCCAGGTGTGGTCTAACCAAGGCAGAATAGAGCATGGGGAGCAGGACTTCCCTAGATGCAGTTAACCTTAATGTATATAATCTTCCAGCCTCTCTTCCTTATAGGAATAAGATGGCCATTCATGTTTGTATAACTCTTTAATCCTATAGTATCCTTTGTCCTTCATTTATCCTCACCAACAAGAATCAAACTCCTTCTTATAGAGACTCTCAAGCGGGGTTCATTTTGATGTTCCTGGCATCCATTTAGGTTTCAATTTTTTCCAAATGTTTAATGCCAATTTTCTGGGGCTTCTGATTCTTTTAATGCTTATTTCCCTATTCCTTGTGAAGATCCCAGAGCTTGCCTCTCCCTTATTAACTCCTATCTTAAATCATTTATCTCTTTCTCTCTCTCATATTTTCAAATAACAGTTTCTTTCCAAGTCCTTAAACTTCAAAACTAGAACCGTATTCTAAAATATCCATCCTATTTCCCTTGGACATGCCCAGTATTTTTAATTTTAACCTTTGCAGTTGGCCCTACCACAGGTTTTTAAATGCGTCGTGTCATTATTGTACTGTTTTTTTTGCTTTGTTATGAGTTATTTATTGTTGTTGTTATGTTTTTATGATGTATTTGGGCTCGGCCTTTTGTAAGCCGCACAGAGTCCTGCGGGAGATGGTAGCGGGGTATAAATAAAGGTTTATTATAATACGTACAGGTTGTGCTTTTTTCCGGAGATTCTTCTACAATGCCAATGTCAGGTCCAGGATCAGAACATCTGCGAAGAAGATTGCTTTTAATTTAACCGTATCTTATTACAGAAAACTTTTTATGTTCATTTCCCACTATTATTTATTTATTTATTTCACTTACTTATACCCCGCCCTTCTCACCCCGGGGGGGCTCAGGGCGGCTTACAGAGGAGGCACAATTAGATGCCCAAATCAATTGACAAGCAATACAAAATACAAAACAATTCAACAGTTAAATTAAAACATCAATACATAATAAAATAATAAAACAATCTCATGCTCAGGGTTCAGAGTCCATATATCCATTCCATTCCATTTGTCCTTGTCTATCGTCAGATCCTTAAATTAGTTGTCAGCATGACCAAAGGCTTGGTCCCACACCCAGCTCTTCAGTTTTTTCCTAAACGCCAGAAGGGAAGTCGCCGATCTAATCTCCCCAGGGAGTGAGTTCCACAGGTGGGGGGCCACCACTGAGAAGGCCCTGCTCCTCGTCCCCGCCAGCCTCACTTGTGACAGTGGCGGGGTCGAGAGCAGGGCCTCCCCAGAAGATCTTAAGCTTCGAGGTGGGATGTAGAGGGAGATCCGTTCGGACAAATACACTAGGCCGGAACTAAAGAAGTATCAAGCAAGGGGGCCTCAATACCACAAGGGCACCAGATTCCCTTCGATCTTGGAAAGCCTGAGCAGTGTTTGGATGGGCTACTGTCAATGAATACCCGGTATTATAAAATTCACGGAGTTGTGATTTAGGTTAACAGATGACTCTGAAGAAGCATACACACACATAGTGTCAGTAAACATTCCTACAAAGGGGTGCTTTTCCTCACCGGCCTTTAATCTGCTTGTAGAGCTGCCTTCTGGAGATCTGTTTGTGTAATGGGGTTTCTGGGACTGTTTTGGTCAGCAGCTTTGGGTTCTCTGAAAGATGATGGAAACAATACACAGAACTATATAAATAATAATAATAATAATAATAATAATAATAATAATAATAAACTTTATTCATATATTGCTCTATCTCACCAAGGGGGCTCCGAGCGGTTTCCAAGTAACATCAATACATACAGAGTAAACAATATAAACATAAGATTAACAAAACAATCTATATAAATAAAAATGTAATGTTCATTTGTGGGATTAACATAACTCAAGAACCACTGGACGAATTGACACCAAATTTGGACACAATACACCTACTAACCCAAAGAGTGACCATCACTCAAAAAATTGATTTCGTCATTTGTGAGTTGTAGCTGCTGGGATTTATAGTTTACTTACAATCAAAGAGCATTCTGAACTCCACCAATGATGGAATTGAACGAAACGTGGAAGACAAGACTCCCATGACCAACAGAAAACACTAAAAGGGTTTGGTGGGCATTGACCTTGAGTTTGGGAGTTGTAGTTCACCTACATCCAGAGAGCACTGTGGACTCAAACAATGAAGTATCTAGACCAAACTTGGCACAAATATTCCATATGCCCAAATACGAACACAAATGGAGTTTGGGGGGAAAGAGACCTTGACAGTTGGGAGTTGTAGTTACTGGGATTTATTGTTCAGCTACAATCAAAGAGCATGTTGAACCCCACCAACGACAGAATTGGGGCAAACCTCCCACACAGAATTCCAGTGACCAACAGAAAATACTTAAGGCCATCCAGCCATAGATATAGATAGATATATATGCATAATTCACACACAGAGAGATATAGTATCATAGATTTGAAAGGGACCCCTAAAGAAGGACAATTCCTTGTGGGCAAACCTGACAATCTCTACATCAACACTGACAAAGAAACAGCAAGAAATACATTGTCGAAGGTTTTCATGGCCGAAATCACTGGGTTGCTGTAGGTTTTTCCGGGCTATATGGCCATGTTTTGGAGGCAAATTTTCTCCTGATGTTTCGCCTGCATCTATGGCAAGGTCATTCCACAGATATATAAACCCATTTTTCCTACTTCCAACAGACCTCACTACCTCTGAGGATGCTTGCCATAGATGCAGGCGAAAAGTGAGGAGAAAAATTGCCTCCAGAACATGGCCATATAGCTCGGAAAAACCTACAACAGCCCAGCAAGAAATACTGTTTACCCACAAGCATAAAGAAATTACATATATTAGGAACCAACACTTTCTGATTACTTTATTTTCCCGATTACCAGACTGGGCCACAGCAACGCCTGGCAGGGCATGGCTAGTAATATTAATAAAACTTTATTTATATATCACTCTATCTCACCGAGGGGGCTCAGAGCAGTATCCAGGTAACATCATCAATACATACAGAGTGAACAATATAAACATAAGATTAACAAAACAATATAAGTATAAAAATTGTCACCATAACACACACACACATATATATAAAGTAATTCTGCCTGTTCAAGGCAATTTAAAAGGCCGAGCCGAGATTAGTGCAAGCTCAAAAATTCCAGAGGGGCCGGGAATTAATTGCAGGCGACAACAATAACAATAATGGGCACATGTCTATGGCTGTTCATTTCCATGACCTATTAGAGGAAGATATAAAAGGCATGAAAGAGGGTGACCTTCAGGAAGCAGAGCTATATGAAGAAAAACTTTTCCAAGTTTAGAAAATGAAACGCTAGCTGTTACTTGGGAGAAATAAATCACCACAAACACATGCCATATCCTTAGAGCTGCTTCAATCCACCGAGAAAAAGACTCTGCTCCAGACTTAGGTCTTGTCTCCAAAATATCACATTATCTATATGCAATTATTCCAAAACATGGAGCATTTTGGATAAGGGATGTTCCACCTGTATCCTCTTACCTCGAGGGTTCTCTTTTGAATAGCTGCGTTTGTGCTTTAGGCCTTCCAAAGCTGACACGGATCGACTTCGAGACATCTTTGCAAGGGATCTTTTGCTCGGGGAAAGGATGTTTTCATTGAAGAGTGTCCTTCGAACCTTGGTAACTTCTGAAAATGCCAGAAAGGCAAAGAAAAGTTTTTGTTTTGCAACTAAAAATCTGTTTTAACTGTTTATTTTTAATAAAAGTAATAATAAAAATACATACTTAAATACTGAAGAAAATAAGATATTTTCTTTGAAAAGCGATTGTTTCTAAGAACAATTCTATTAAGAGGGTGGCTGTATTTTATTTACACCCAACTAGTACAAAATTAATATGAGACTTTCCTTTAAAAACACGAATTATAGAAGAAACCAGTTCTGTTGAGTTCAACCTCATTTTGTAGAATGTAATGGGAATGTTATTTAAAATGACAGAATATTCAAATTCTATTCATGGACATCAGAGAAGAGTGGATATAGTTGAGAGGGAACAAACTTTTATAGCACTGGGTTACATTAAGTTGCTGTGAGTTTTTTGGGCTGGATAGTCATGTTCTAGTAGCATTCTCTCCTGACGTTTCACCTGCATTTTCAGAGATTGTGTTGGCAATGACGCAAGCGCAGTGTATTTACATCTGTGGAATGTCCAGGGTGGGATAAAATAGCACTGAGTAGCCATGAAGCTGCAGAGTCAATCAGTGAGGGTATCTGCATAGAGGTATCATAATTACTTTTAGGGTATATGTTGTAATGTTTTACTCATGTTTTAGTTTACTGTCTTACTGGATTGTTTTTTTTTATTATTTTCATCTTGATGCTTAATTCTTTATTGTAAGTTTACTGTTGTTTATGTGCATTATCTTGTATTATTTTGATGTGTTTGTATTCATTTGAGGCATTGAATGTTTGTCTTTTGTTTTGTCTTTGAAAACCGCCCCTGAGTCCCTTCGTGGAGAGAAGGTGGTCTAGACTGGATTACTGTAATGCACTCTATGTGGGGCTGCCCTTGAAAACGGCTCGGAAATTTCAGATGGTCCAATGGGCGGTGGCCAGGTTATTAACTGGGGCGCCTTACAGGGAGCGGTCAACCCTCCTGTTAAAGGAGCTCCACTGGCTGCCATTCATTTTCCGGACCCAATTCAAGGTGCAGGTTCTTACCTACAAAGCCCTAAACGGTTTGGGACCCGCTTACCTGCATGACCGCATCTCTGTATATGAACCCACACGATCTCTTCGATCATCTGGAGAGGCCCTGCTCTCGATCCCACTTGCATCGCAGGCGCGATTGGTGGGGACGAGAGAGAGGGCCTTTTCGGTGGTGGCCCCCCGACTCTGGAACTCACTTCCTAAGGACATCAGGCAGGCCCCAACTCTGGCAGTCTTTAGGAGGAGCTTGAAGACGTGGCTGTTCCAGTGTGCCTTCCCAGAAAAATGATCCCATAGCACTTTGTCCTCCAAAGCACTTTACATTTTTAGGTCTGCTTGTATGTTTTCCACAAACGCCCCATCACTTTTTCGCCCATGTCCAGCATTATCTTCAATTTTAATTTTACATTTGGCCTTCCCATAGTTTTAATTGTGTGTTGTCTTATGTTTCGTTATTTTATTGTCCATGTTTTTATTTTAATTGCTTGTATTGTTGTATTTGGGCTCGGCCTCATGTAAGCTCCACCGAGTCCCTTGGGGAGATGGTAGCGGGGTACAAATAAAGGTTTATTATTATTATTAGAAGTGAAGTTATTATTATTATTATTATTATTATTATTATTATTAGTATTATTATTATTACTACTACTACTACTACTTGGCCTTTATAATCTGTTATTATCTGTTTGGGAGATGTTAACTGGCACTTGATAGTTTGCTGTCTGGAGTTCTCCTGTTTCTGAGTGTTTGTCATTATTTACTATCTTGATTCTGGTGTTTTTTTAATACTGGTAACCAGATTTTGTTCATTTTCATGGTTTCCTCCTTTCTGTTGAAATTGTCCACATACTTGTGGATTTCAATGGCTTCTCTGTGTAATCTGACATAATGGTTGTCAGAGTGGGCACTGCATTTGGTGGCCCCTATGTAGACTAGTCCACAGCTGCACAGTATCTGGTGGATTCCTGCAGTGGTCAGAGAATCCCTCTTATCCTTTGCTGAACATAGCATTTGTTGAATTTTCTTGTTGGGTCCATCCAGACATGAATCAAAGAACATGAAAGGCACTGCAGACTAATTCAACAAGAGAAGTCGCTTTAGTTTACTATGTCTTATTGAATTGTTATTATTATTATTATTATTATTATTATTATTATTATTATTATTATCATCTTGATGCTTAATTCTTTGTTGTAAGTTTACCATCAGAATGTGTCCGTTTCAGCTAAAGTCAACAACTCCATGACAGTTTGGCAGTGAAAGACTGGCCTCTGATAAGGGCCATCTGGACCAGGAGGGAGAAACCTGGGAGATATTGCATACTCTGTGAGAATGGAATGCAACCGTTAGAATAGATAACAAGGGGGGGGGGGGGTCGTGGGTTAACAATGAAATACTACAGGATTGGTGGGAAAGAGTTAGAACTAGCTTTTGCTTTGCCTTGGCAAAAAGGAATAATAAAGTTGTGTCCAAGGAACCCTCCTTGTGAGCATGCTTTTATTCTAGAATCTGCCAGGAGCTATAATACAGCACCTGATGAACCAACCTGGACACAGAATTTTACTTGAGAATACAGAAATTCTAGACCACTGGACATTCCACAGATATATATATATATACACACACACACACACACACACACACACTCCACTTGCGTCATTGACAACAGAACCTCTGAAGATTCCAGCCACAAATGCAGGCGAAACATCAGGAGTGTTGAACCTCAGAATAGGTTCACCTTGTTGAAAACACCAAACTGCACACAGCCAGAAGTCTTTATAGTTTATTAAAAAGTAAAAGATAAAAAGTTCTTAAAAGCAAAAGTAATGTTCTAAAAGATCAATACAAAATAACACTTTGAAGCATGATCCAAAAAGGCACCAGCAAAGTAAAATCCCACGAGAATACGACTTGAGTCCTGAGACCATAGAATCATAGAATCAAGGAGTTGGAAGAGACCTCCTGGGCCATCCAGTCCAACCCCTGCCAAGAAGCAGGAAAATTGCATTCAAAGCACCCCCAACAGATGGCCATCCAGCCTCTGTTTAAAAGCCTCCAAAGAAGGAGCCTCCACCACATTCCGGGGCAGAGAGTTCCACTGCTGAACGGCTCTCACAGTCAGGAAGTTCTTCCTCATGTTCAGATGGAATCTCCTCTCTTGTAGTTTGAACCCATTGTTCCTTGTCCTTATCTCCATGGAAGCAGTAAACCAGCTTGCTCCCTCCTCCCTGTGGCTTCCTCTCACATATTTATACATGGCTATCATATCTTCTCTTCTTCAGACTAAACATGCCCATCTCCTCTCTTGTAGTTTGAAGCCATTGTTTCTTGCCCTAATCTCCATGGAAGCAGTAAACAAGCTTGCTCCCTCCTCCCTGTGGCTTCCTCTCACATATTTATACATGGCTCTCATCATATCTCCTCTCATCCTTCTCTTCTTCAGGCTAAACATGCCCAGCTCCTTAAGCCGCTCCTCATAGGGCTTGTTCTCCAGACCCTTGATCATTTTAGTTGCCCTCCTCTGGACACATTCCAGCTTGTCAATATCTCTCTTCAATTGTGGTGCCCAGAATTGGACACAATATTCCAGTGTGGTCTAACCAAGGCAGAAAAGGGGGTAGCATGACTTCCCTGGATCTAGACATTAGGCTCCTCTTGATGCAGGCCAAAAGCCCATTGGCTTTTTTTGCCACCACATCACATTGTTGGCTCATGTTTAACTTGTTGTCCACAAGGACTCCAAGATCTTTTGAACACAAGAACTGCAAAATAATCCAGACAAGCAAAATGCAAGCTTCTTGGTTAACATAAAGTTGCTCTGACAAAGGTTTGGTCCCAAACACACTGTTTAATACCCTTTGCAAAACATGAAGGCGTTTCTTTGGCCTCTGACCTCCTTCTTGTTAGCTATTCTCACACTCCTTCGAACTCTGAATTCCAAACGGTCATCATGATCTAAGGCTCTCGTTTCGTCAAGGTCAGTCTGTTCATTAGTGTTATCCAGTTTGCCTTCCTGCTCATTATCAGGCTGAGAACTGTCCTCCTTTTCTGAGTCAACTTGCACCTGCACCTGGCTAGTTTCACTATCAACAAACTCATTCCTTGCTGTGGGAAACTGAACTTCCACACCTTGTTCCTCAATGAATATAATAGAGACATTTTGAACCATATTGTGAACCTGAGTCCCATCATCCTCATCAGAGGCGCTCTGTGGTTCCAGCTGAGTCTCAACAAGGAGATAATGCCACTGGAACATGGCCATCCAGCTCGAAAAACTCACAGCATCCCAGTGATTCCGGCCCTGAAAGCCTTCGACAACACTGGATTACATTACTCCCAATCCCTTAGAACCCAGATACATTTTTTAAAACGATCTTCAACATTTTCAGATTAGTTTTAGCATTTTTCATTAAGGTTGCTAAGCTTGAAAAAAATTAAAAGTACAGCAATTTGATCCTGAGAAAAGACCCACGGTTGGGACTGCTTTGTATCTTCAGAATTCTAGAAAGCTACCACTTCATAGGAAAGGAAAGGAACGTTAAGAGAAAGGGAAGAAAAGGAAGGAGGCCCACCTTGTACTGCCATTTTCTGTGCTGCTGGGGCTGACTTCACATCAAGGCAAGCATAAGAATTGTCCTGAAACATTAGAAAACAGTATCAAAAATGCTTCAAAAGTACAGACAATATATTTTTACACACTACTAGTTAGGGGAGATGGAATCCATTTATATGTGAATGAAGTTGACTTCAATCTTCCCTTCTTCTATGCAAATATGCTTAACATTACAATTATAAAATAAATAAATAAATAAAATAATAAAAACTTTATTTGTACCCCGCTACCATCTCCCCAAGGGACTCGGTGCAGCTTACATGAGGCCAAGCCCACAGTACATCAATAAAATGAAGGAAATAACAAAATAATCAATACAAAACAGTAAAATAAATCTCAAAACAAAAATAAACAATAAACAATAACAATAATATACAAGCATTTAAAAACCTATGGCAGGACAAAATGTAATAATTTTAAAATTTAAAAAATAATGCTGGCATGAACAAGGTAGGGTATAACTAGGATAGGGTTTTCAACGAAAGATGAGGGTGCGCAGACAATCCTAAATCAATGTTAAAATGCATTTGAGGACGTATCATTTTTATTGTATTTTAAAGTTGGTTATATTGTTTTAATCTACTGCTGTAAACCGCTCCGAGCCAAATTGGGAGTGGCGGTATACAAGTCAAATTAATTAATTAATTAATTAAATATTGCTAAGAGTTTTCCTTATTCTGGGAAGGCACACTGGAACAACCACGTTTTCAGGCTCCTCCTAAAGATTGCCAGCGTTGGGGCATGTCTGATGTCCCTGGGGAGTGAGTTCCAGAGTCGGGGGGCCACCACCGAGAAGGCCCTGCCCCTTGTCCCCACCAATCGCACTTGCGATGGAGGTGGAAGCGCAAGCAGGGCCTCTCCAGATGATCGAAGAGATCATGTGGGTTCGTACACAGAAATGAGGTCACGCGAGTAGGCGGATACCAAATTGTAGGGGGCTTTGTAGGTAAGCACCTGCACCTTGAATTGGGACCGGAAAAGGAACGGCAGCCAATGGAGCTCCTTGAGGAGGGTTGACCGCTCTCTCTAAAAGCACCAGTTAGCAACCTGGCTGCTGCCCATTGTACCAATTGAAATTTCCTGGCCGTTATCAAGGGCAGCCCCACGTAGAGTGCATTATAGTAATCCAATCTGGAGGTGACTAAGGCATGGACCACCCTGGCCAGATCTGACTTCACGAGGTACGGTCGCAGCTGGCGCACGAGTCTTAATTGTGCAAAATGAGTTTTCTTAATCAGCAAGTAGACTTAGTGAGCTGGGAATTACATTATTTCTGTGCACATTTTCCAGAATTGAGTCAGCTATTTTGGTCTTTCGGAAAGAGTCACACAATCTGTTTGCTCACAATTAAATTTTTACCTTTCTGGAATGATGCTTTGGGACTTGAGGAATCTCTATTTGGCGTAAGTTCAGTGAAGTTTCTGTCACACTACGGTGCCTGGCTAGCGTATTCTTTCTAGAAGCACACAAAAATATCTCTTTTAAACAAACCACCTTTACATTTTGGCCATGATTTTAAGAAAGCTGATTTTTTTCAATGTGACTACGGTGATACAAATGTGATTATTTATTTTTATCAGTCACTGAAATAATGTTTCCACATACACAACTCAAGTTGCCCCAAGATTAACTACAATGCCACTGGATTGCTATGGCATCAATCTTATGTTTTAGCAAACATTGTTAATAAGTAGATAATACTACTGAAATATTTTAGGAAATCTCATCCACTTAGAATAATAGAATAGAATCATAGGAGAGTTGGAAGAGACCTTATGGGCCATCCAGTCCAACCCCATTCTGCCAAGAAGCAGGAATATTGCATTCAAAGCACCCCCGACAGATGGCCATCCAGCCTCTGTTTAAAAGCTTCCAAAGAAGGAGCCTCCACCACACTCCGGGGCAGAGAGTTCCACTGCTGAATGGCTCTCACAGTCAGGAAGTTCTTCCTCATGTTCAGATGGAATCTCCTTTCTTGTAGTTTGAAGCCATTGTTCCGCGTCCTAGTCTCCAGGGCAGCAGAAAACAAGCTTGCTCCCTCCTCCCTATGACTTCCTCTCACATATTTATACATGGCTATCATTCTCCTCTCAGCCTTCTCTTCTTCAGGCTAAACATGCCCAGCTCCTTAAGCCGCTCCTCATAGGGCTTGTTCTCCAGACCCTTGATCATTTGAGTCGCCCTCCTCTGGACACATTCCAGCTTGTCAATATCTCTCTTGAACTGTGGTGCCCAGAATTGGACACAATATTCCAGGTGTGATCGATTCCAAAGTGGAATAGAGCATGGGGAGCATGATTTCCCTGGATTTCCCTAGATCTAGACACTATGCTCCTCTTGATGCAGGCCAAAATCCCATTGGCTTTTTTTGCCACCGCATCACATTGTTGACTCATGTTTAACTTGTCACGAGGACTCCAAGATCTTTTTCACACGTACTGCTCTCGAGCCAGGCATTGTCCCCCATTCTGTATCTTTGCATTTCCTTTTTTTCTGCCTAAGTGGAGTATCTTGCATTTGTCCCTGTTGAACTTCATGTTGTAAGTTTTGGCCCATCATCTCTCTAATTTGTCAAGATCATTTTGAATTCTGCTCCTGTCCTCTGGAGTATTGGCTCTCCCTCCCAATTTGGTCCTGTCTGCAAACTTCATGATCCTGCCTTCTAGCCCTTCATCTAAGTCATTAATAAAGAAATGCTGGACCACTCTCACAACCACCATGTCAGACTACACAGAGAAGCCATTGAAATACACAAGCATGTGGACAATTTCAACAGAAAGGAGGAAACCATGAAAATGAACAAAATCTGGCTACCAGTATTAAAAAACTCTAAAATTACAACAGCACAACAACAGAGAGGAAACAATCAGGGACATCTAATCACCTCTCAACAAAAGATTGCTCCAGGCACTGTCAGGCCATTATATGCTAATCAAGGTGGTCAGTTGAAACATTCTCACATAGCTCCAGCAGACAAGAGTTCTTTGTCTCACCCTGGTCATTCCAAAGATCTATAAACCCTTTTCCCAGTTCCAAAAGACCTCACTACCTCTGAGGATGCTTGCCATAGATGCAGGCGAAACGTCAGGAGAGAATGCCTCTAGACCATGGCCATATAGCCTGAAAAAACCTACAACAACCCAGTGATTCCGGCCATGAAAGCCTTCGACAATACATTAATAAAGATGTTGAACATGACCAGTCCCAGGACGGAACCCTGCGGCATTCCGCTTGTCACTTCTTTCTTTACTTATGATCTCCAGGAATTAACCTGATTAAGTCTTGAAGAAACCACAAGACTCTCTAAAACAGATCTGGGCAAAATTGAATCTTTCAGGTGTTTTGGACTTCAACTCCCACAATTCCCAATAGGTGGTAGGTTGGCTGAAAGCCAACCTTAAAAACTCTGGCATAGACACTGAGAACTGGGAAGCCCTGGCCCTTGAGTGCTCCAGCTGGAGGTCAGCTGTGACCAGCAGTGCTGTATTTATTTATTTAGCTAGCAGTTTTGTATACCGGTCTTCTCACCTCCATCGAGGGACTCAGGCCAGTTTCCAACAGTAATATCACAAACAGTCATTAAAAACATCATATTGCATATTAGACTAAAAACATTAAAATAGCAAAATGCAGTCATATAATTACAATGGTCAGTCGTCACAATAAAATCGTTGTTCGTCATCATCCATCCATATCACAGAATATTGACTCACTCGTCGAATGCCAATTTCCAGAGCCAAGTTTTCACCTGTTTTCTGAACGTCAAGATAGAAGGGGCAGTTCTGATCTCCAGTGGGAGAGAGTTCCAGAGCCGAGGGGCCACCACCGAGAAGGCCCTGTCCCTCGTCCCCACCAGATGCGCTTGTGAGGCTGCTGGGACTGAGAGCAGGTCCCCCCCAGATGATCTTAACAATCTTGATGGTTCATAGGGGAGAATACGTTCGGACAGGTAAACTGGGCTTTATAGGTTAACACCTATAGAATCTGAAGAGGCACGAATGGAGGACAAAAGAGAGAAACGTCCCAAGAGGAAGGCACGTCAAGCCAACCCCGACCGAGACTGCCTTCCACCTGGAAACCAATGCCCTCACTGTGGAAGAAGATGTAGATCAGGAATACGGCTCCACAGTCACCTACGGATCCACCAAAACACTGATCCTGGAAGACTATCCAACTCGGACAACAAGGGATTGCCCTAAGGAAAGGAATGCCTGTGCTAGACTAATGTTAATTCACTGTTAATCTGTTTATTTCTCTGAAATGTGTTAACCTTTTCTTAGCTGATCTGGTGCGCAGTTCTTCAAGCTGCTCTGCCTCAGTGCTCAGGGAAACGATGCTGGAAGCGGGAACAGATGATGCGGAAGGATGAAGGGAAGGGGCTTGGCTCTCCTGGCTCATGGAGTCATCACTGAAAAAATCTGCTGGAAGGACCGAGGCCAGTTTTGCAGGAATCTGTGTCCCCAAGCTGTAGTACAAATCTCCAAGGATTTTTGGCATGGTTTCCATATACCTACATAAAGCAAGAGCGCTCATTAGAAATGCTACCACTAAGAAAACTTTATGTGATTTAATTACAAGATGGCTATCAAACTCAGTGGCACAGCAAGTTAAATGGCTGAGCTGCTGAATTTGCTGACCTAAAGTTCAGCAATTCAAACCCGGGGAATGGGGTGAGCTCCTGTTGTTAGCCCCAGCTCCTGACAACCTAGCAGTTCAAAAACATGCAAATGGAAGTAGAGAATTAGATATGGTTAGGTCCATTCTGAATCTTTGTAATTTGGAATAAATTTGGAAAAAATTACCTTTTTGAAGCGATTTTGAACTTTTTTAGGAAACCGGAAGTCCCTTTGCCCTTCCAAAGCTAATCTCACCATTTTTCTTCCGACTCAGGAAGTGAGTTGGAAATTATTCTGGTTCCCTCGCCTCGGCTAAAGCCTGAGAAGCCAGTTTTAAACCGGAGAAGGCTGAATTTCCCCCCTTTGCTTTCCCCGCTTCTGCCTCAAGACAGAGAAGCCAGTTTTAAACCGGAGAAGGCTGAATTTCCTCCCTTTCCTTTTTCCTGCTCCTGGAGTAAAACAACTACTTTCAAAGTAAAGACCACCTAATGAAACAGGAAATAACACTTTCAAATCATTAACTAAAAGATTCGGAATTCTCGGAAGTTTCAAAGTTTTTAACATTTTTTTTCCTGTGAAAATCGGAATTGACTTTAGAATCGAACCACTGGTGTCCCCTACATCCAAAATGAGTTTTAAACCATTTTTTTTTATCAAACACTCCAGTGGGAAGGTAATGAAACTCCTTGCAGTCATGCCGGCCACATTACCTAGGAGGCGTCTAAGGACAACGCTGGCTCGTTAGCTTAGAAATGGAGATGAACACTACCCCCCCGCCCCGCCCCAGAGTCGGACTCAACTAGACTTAACGTCAAGGGGAAACCTTTGCTTTTACTATCGAAATAATTTTACTATCAACGTATGTCCACATATTAGGATACACCACCACAAAGATGGTTGTTTATTCTGAGGGAAAATGTGCAAGATTTGCATAGAATCAACACTAAAGATATGCTAACTTGCTATTTAGTGTAGCTGCACATTATCAAGCCAAACAGCTATCATTGTTTACAATTTCTAATAATTCGCAAATTGCAGCCATATTCGTTTTCTGTCCTGTCAGAGCAAAGCCTAAATTTTAACTTGAAGGTATTTAAATAAAAAGACTAACACTTTTCAACCACTTTTTCACTGTATCATACATTATTGCAAGTCACCCTTCTGCCCAAGTTACATTAAAAACACAGCAACAATAATTGCCTGAAAGCACTTACATGTCTACAACTTCTTCCAAGAACCTAGTGAGGTATCCTGGGTCTTTGGTCAAGCATAAGATCCTCAACATTTCTGTCATCTGGAGGTAAAAGAAAATACATCAAAAGGCCAGTGACACATAGCTCAACTATCCCCAGTCTGGTATTTCCAGACGTGTTGGACTGCAACTCTCATCATTCTTAAGACTTCTTCATTCTATGTAGGATGGATTCTAAGGAAATTGTTTAAAAAAGTTGTAACGAAGTTATAAAAGAGTTGTATAAAAACAGTGGCAGAGATTGTCTTACAGCAGGCATGGGCAAACTTTGGCCCTCCAGGTGTTTTGGATTTCAACTCTCACAGTTCCTAACAGCCTGTCTTAGAGAGTGGTGAGCTCTCCTTCGATAAAGACATTTTAGACAGTGGTTGGACTGCCATCTGTCAGGAATACTTTAAAGGTATCGTCTAAATGACGGGGCTAAATGACCTGTGCAGTCCCTTTTAGCAGTCAGTTTTCCAGATTAAAATTTTATTTTCTGTTTCTGGAAACCAAGACTAATTGTTTTACCTCTTCAACAAGCTGCTCCATCCCATCTATGTCGTCCTGTAAAGAAGGACACTGAAGGCACATTTCTAGACGCAAGTATACCTGAAGTTGGCACCTATTAAACACATAAGAGGGAAGCAGATGGATATTAATATACAGTACAACTTACTGTAAAAACAAGAAACCATGGATAATAGAAACCCTATCAAAATGAATGATTTTCATCAGAAGGTACAGAGTGCAGTAGCATAACTTTCTTTTTTCAAAACTTAATAAAACCCATTGTATGAATCAGAATTCTTTTTTTATAATATAGGCGCATACTTAAAGTTTTGTTTTACATAGTTTTGAAGATCAAATTAGGTAGGTAACGTCCCCCATTCTCCATACACTGAGTAAACCGATTTCTGGGTTTTGTCATGACTCTTGCTAGCATAGCAGGCATTATGTTGGCAATTTCTTCCTGGATGTTGGTCTTCAAATCTTGTCGGGTCCTTGGACGGTTCATATAAACACAGGATTTCAAAAAATCCCATAGAAAAAAAATCATAAGGGGCCAAATTTGGAGCGTCCACTTCAAATCCCCCCAAATTGAGATGAGGCGCTCTGGGAAGTGTTCCCTCAAAACAGCCATCGATGCTCTTGAAGTGTGTGCAGTTACACCATCTTGTTGGAAGCAAATGTCCCCTAAGTCCAACCCATCTAGCCGTGGGGAAAAAATTCCTGTAACATGTTTACATACCGGTCCAAATTCACTGTCACTGTGACTTCATTTTCCTCAAAGAACCAGGGACCAAGAATTCCAGCTGAGGAAATGGCACACCACACTGTGATTTTAGGTGAATACAAAGGCCTTGGATGCCATTCTCGAGGATTGTTGTCCGCCCAGTGGCGCATGTTTTGTTTGTTGATGGATCAACACAAATGAAAATGGGCTTCATCACTAAAAAAAAACAATAACATCCTCAGGAACGACGTCGAGAAGAACCTCACACACATTCCTCCGAGAACTGAAGTCACGTTTAGAAAGTTCCTGCACAATCGCCATCTTGTCACTTGTCACTTCACTGATGGAAGTGAAGATCATCATGAATTCTCCTCACAGAACGATCGGAAAGTCCAAGGGCAGACGCATGTTTGCGTGCAGAACGCCGTGGTGATCACAACGTTGAAGCTCTCACTGCTTCCATGTTCTCAGGTGATCTAATGGGCCGAGGGACTCCAGTTCTTCGTCTTGTCGCACTTGCCGTTTGTCTGAATGTAGTGACCCACGTCACAATTGATTTCCGGTCCAGGACAGGGGCCAATGGGGCTAAATTAAAGCGATTCCAAAAGGCGTGCTGGGGTGCGATCACAGAACATCTGCTTGAAAAGTAGTCCTCAACGGCAAAAGCACGCTCCTCACTGTTCCAATGCATGATGGCGACTGAACTGTGTCAGGACAAAACTTGATACTCCTGCCTCTCGAACGAGACCACTAGCGCTCCGCTACGTCTTCAACCAACTGAATGGTGCGCATTTTAAAAAAGGAAGTCATGCTTCCGCACCCTGTACTATAGAACTGCCCTGGACAACCTAGAAAATTGCTAGAGAAATGTCTTATCGTATATCATTGAGTATAAGCTGATCTGAATATAAGCCGAGGCACCTAATTTTACCACAAAAAACCTGGGAAAACATATTTACTTGAGTATAAGCCGGGGGTGGGAAATGCAGCAGTTACTGGTACATTTCAAAATAAAAATAGATTACAATTACATTAATTGAGGCATCAGTAGTTTAAATGTTTTCGAATATTTATATAAAACTGTAATTTAAGATAAGACTGTCCAACTCTGATTAAACCATTATTCTAATGTTCTTCAATGTAAATGTGCTTATGTATCCTTCCAATAATACATAGAGTAAAATAATGGAAATGTAATAATAACAGAAATAATAGAGTAAAAGAATAAATGTAATAATAATAATAATAGTAAAATAATAAAAGTAATAAGAATAATAATAATAGAGTAAAATAATGTACATGTAATAATAGAGTAAAAGAATAAATGTAATAACAATAATGATAGAGTAAAATAATGTAAATGTAATAATAATAAATACATCAGGGGTCCTCAAAGTAAGGCCCAGGGGACAGATACGGCCCTCCAGGTCGTTTACCTGGCCCTCACTCAGGGTCAACCTAAATCTGAAACAACTTGAAAGCACACAACAACAACAACAACAACAACAACAGTCCTATCTCATCAGCCAAAAGCAGGCCCACACTTCCCATTGAAATACTAATAAGTTTATATTTGTTAAAATTGTTCTTCATTTTAATTATTGTATTGTTTTTAAGTGGTTTTTGCACTACAAATAAGATATGTGCAGTGTGCATAGGAATTCATTCATGTTTTTTTCAAATTATAATCCGGCCCTCCAACAGTTTGAGGGACTGTGACCTGGCCCTTTGTTTAAAAAGTTTGAGGACCCCCGAAATAGAGCAAAATACTAAATGTAATAAAAACAACAGAGTAAAATAATGTAAATGTAATAACAATAGAGTAAAATAATAAATGTAATAATAATAATAATAATAATAATAATAATAATAATAATAACAGACTAAAATAATAAATAACTTTGACTCTGTACAAGCCAAGGGGGACTTATTTAGCCTCAAAAAAGGGCTAAAAATCTCAGCTTATACTCGAGTATATAAGGTATGTCTTTCAGGTCAACTCTATGGAAACTTCCAATAGAGCAGTAGTTCTCAACCTGGGGTCCCCAGATGTTTTTGGCCTACAACTCCCAGAAATCCCAGCCAGTTTACCAGCTGTTAGGATTTCTGGGAGTTGAAGGCCAAAAACATCTGGGAACCCCAGATTGAGAACCACTGCAATAGAGGAATATTACCCAATTGCCTGGAAAGCATAAAAATGTATATTTTGTCCAATGTGTAAAGATGACACTGTAATACTCTGAACTATAGAAATTACATGGAGGAAGCTAGGAAAATGGACTCTGAAGAAACATTATTTCCATGTAGTTCATGTAAAGCAGAAGCGTTTTGTCCCTTATTTGATCTGGCTACCTCATTTGCATGCTAGGCCCAGCTGGATGATTTGTCTCCACATGAAAGCAAAGCTTTACAGGCCAGAAATAAAACAAGAGTGAAGAGGGGGGGGGGGCACAGTTGAAAACAGTTCCACCTTGTCTCCTGTGCTTTACTAATAATATAATAATAATGCAATAGTAGATTAAAAGCCAAAATTGAATCACGTAGCCAGAAAAAAAAATTCGGGAGGGGTTGAAATTTTTGCAGGCGGGGGGGTTGAAACCAGGATTGTGGGCAGCTGGCTGAGTGTCAGCTGCATTAAGATCACTCTGACCAAAAGGTCATGAGTTCGAAGCCAGCCCGGGTTGGAGTGGGTTTCCAACCAATTGTGTAGCCTGTTGTCGACCTTTGCAACCCGAAAGACAGTTGCATCTGTCAAGTAGGAAAATTAGGTACCACCTTAAAGTGTGGGGAGGCTAAATTAACTGATTTATGAGGCCATAAAGAAGACTCCAGCAAAGCATTCCAGCGGGGAAGCATGCGGGGAATGCGGAAGTGCTTCATCAGCGTCGCAGATGGATGATGAAAGCGACAGCTCCCCTGGCGGCCAGAAAAAGTTAAATAGCCTCTGTGTATGTCTGTATATGTTTGTATGTCAAAAATTGGCATTGAATGTTTGCCATATATGTGTACACTGTAATCCGCCCTGAGTCCTCTGCGGGGTGAGAAGAAGGGAGGAATATAAAAGCTGTAAATAAATAATAAATAGATAGATATATCTTGTAATTTATTTATTTATTTGCTTTATTTCTATACCGCATTTTTCAGCCCAAACAGGCGACTCAATGCGGTTTCCAAACAGGCGACTCAATGCGGTAAGCCGCTCTGAGTCCTCTTCGGGGTTAAAAGGGCAGCATATAAACATCATAAATAAATAAATAAATAAGAAGAAGTCAATAGCTGTTTTGTAGGAACAATCTATTCACTGGCAAACTCCTGCACTTCTACACAGGAGCTTCCACAGAAAACCTCAACACTTCAAACATATGTTCTGAACAAATACTCCTCGTACTCTTTGATTTTAGCTTCCTGATCAGGATCACTGCTAAGTTGCTGACGGAGGGCTTTGCCGGTCCTTAAGAGATTGCTCTTCATTGTGTCCACAAAGGCTGCCTGTATGTCGAAAGAAAAATAACAGAAGATGTAACATGTTACTGTCTAACTGAGGAAAAATAGCAATTTCAGAAACAACGAGCGACGGACCCGGACTAAACTTGGCACACATAACCCCCATGACCCACTTTACGTCCTAGTGCGGTTTGGGGGAGGTGGACCATAAATTATGGGATTTGTAGTACTTTAAAACACTTGGGCAACCACAGACCACTGTGGCCCCCATCAATGACAGATCAAGACCAAACTTGGCACACAGAGCCCCCATTACCCACTCTACATCCTGGTGAGGTTTGAAGTATGGATAATGGATGATAGGACTTGAAGTACCTCCACTAACTTCACGAGACCGCTGCGACCCTCATCCAATGACTGATCAAGGCCAAAATTGGCACACAGAGCCCCCATGAGACACCCTACATCCTGGTACCATTTGGAGGAGGATGGACCATGGATGATGGGACTCACAGGATCACTGTGAGCCACATAAATAACTGATAAAGACTAACCTTGGCACACAATGCCTTTCTCAAATAACCTGAGCACCGCCGGGTCCCCAAGCTAGTTATAATATAAAAAAGAACATTTACTCCTTCTTAAAATGGAAGAGATAAGTGAAACAAATGTGCCTATCCACCCTACCTCATTCAACTTCTGGAAAGTATTAACAGTTGCTACCATGTCCTGGGCATGCGTAAGCAAGTTTTCACCATCAATCACAGCCTTCTGGTAGTTCGTTGTTATATAGGACAGCATTTCTTCCTTAGTGCTGAAGCCTGCAAAACCAGAAGATGTAGATAAATTGCAAAATAGGAACTTTATGTAATCCTGCTCTCTCTTTCCCTACCTTCCAAGTGGCACAAGCCGTAATCATTTTTATGGTTTTACTCTTTTGTGACAAACTTTTCAAATGCATAAACAGGAAAAAGCATTGTTAGCGATCCCACAGGTACCAACACACGTTGGCTAGAATACTGTGCAGGTAGTGATTTCATAGAACGCACCATCATTCAGAGCAGTGTTTCTCAACCTTCCTAATGCCTTGAACCCTAAATGCAGTTCCTCATGTTGTAGTGACCCCCAACCATGACATTATTTTCGTTGCTACACCATAACTGTAATTTTGCTCCTGTTATGAATCGTCCTGATATGCAGGATGTATTTTCATTCACTGCACCAAATTTGGCACAAATACCCGAAACGCCCAAATCAGAATACTGGTAGGGATGATTGTGTCATTTGGGAGTTGTAGTTGCTCGGATTTATAGTTCACCTACAATCAAAGAGCATTCTGAACTCCACCAATGATGAAATCGAACCAAACTTGGCACACAGAACTCCCATGACCAACAGAAAATACTGGAAGGGTTTGGTTGGAACTGACCTTGAGTTTGGGAGCTGTAGTCTACATACATCCAGAGAGCACTGTGGACTCAAACAATGATGGATCTGGACCAAACTTGGCAAATATACTCAATATGCCCAAATGTGAACACTGGTGGAGTTTGGGGGAAATAGAAATCTGGGAGTTGTAGTTGCTTGAATTTATAGTTCACCTACAATCAAAGGTTATTCTGAACTCCACCAACGATAGAATTTGGGCAAACTTCCCATGATCAACAGAAAATAATGCGTTTTCTGATGGTCTTTAGTGACCCCTCTGACACCCCCTTGCAACCTCCTCAGGGGCGTCTTATATTGTGGATCCTGGCTACAAAGGGGTCCCCTTAGCTCAGTGTTGTGGTCACAAAAATTTAGAAACAGTAAAAGGTTTCCAATATCACCCATTTACACTAAACTCTTGGCAAGAATGTGAAGTGTTTACAGTGGATTCTGCAGAAAATTCTTTAGCTGAACTCCACAAAATAGAAAATCAGCCTGCTTAATAAGCCTTAAAATGCTTAATTGTTATTTATTTATTTACTATATTTATATACTGCCTTTCTCACCCCGGGGGGTGGGACGGGGACGGGACTCAAGGCGGTTTACAACATACCAATGGCAAAAATTCAATGCCAGCATACATGTACAAAGAAAGTTCATAATAACTAAACACCAACATATAGCTATAAATTAAAATTAAATTAAACATGAGACATAAACAACATTTAAACATTAAAAACATCTTAATATAAATATTAAAATCACATGATCCAAAAATCGTACCCATTGCACATATTTTCTAATTGTTCTTTTCACTGCATTATTTTTACTGGCCAAAGGCTTGGTCCCACATCTATGATATCAGTAAATGTTTGACTTTTGAACTAATTTTGCATACTTGGAAAAAGTTTTAAGAAGCCTTGATTTAGAGCAATACTTTCTGCTTCCTAAATTAATTTTTTCTAGTCTTCTCTGCATATACCTTTCCAAACGTCACTGTTTTCTTGCAAAACCTTTCCGCTGCACACTCCCGTTATCAGATAGGCAGATGACCTTAACTTACACCTACCTTGCTTACTTTTCACCATTCTACCCCTTCCGTCCACATTATCCTCCAATGGTTTTGATAACAGCCCTTGGGAAGCCTTCTCATTGACTGGTGGTTCTCCTTCTGGCTGGAACTTTTGAGCCTTTACATTCAGCCTAGCAACGTTCAACATCTGCAGGGAACGAGGCATGGTCTTCATTTTCTGCCTCACAGGGGTCCGAGGAAGTTTACCTGCATAAATAAAAAATGCAAGAGGCTGTCTTTCAAACCGTTTTCCCCCTTGTCCTGATCATTACCTACTTTTCAAATAATAATGCTGTATTTAAAAACTGTTGAATTGCATTAAAAAATTTTATTAAATAATGAAAAACTATAGCAGTGCTAACATTCAAAATCTGTTCAATATTTTGGGGGGAAAGCAACCTTTTCAAGCCTTCTCTATATGATGTTTTGTAATGTGTCT